GGAGGCCATCGCTCTTAGGGTGGAGGCCATCGCTCTTAGGTTGGAGGAGCGATGGGTGGAGGCCATGGCTCTTGGGTTGGAGGCCATCCCTTTCAGGCTGGAGGCCATCGCTCTTAGGTTGGAGGCCATCGCTCTTAGGCTGGAGGCCATCGCTTTCGGGTTGGAGGCTATCGCTCTTAGGGTGGAGGCCATCGCTCTAAGGTTGGAGGCCATGGCTCCTATGGTGGAGACCGTTGGAGGCCATCGCTCTTAGGCTGGAGGCCATCGCTTTCGGGTTGGAGGCTATCGCTCTTAGGGTGGAGGCCATCGCTCTAAGGTTGGAGGCCATGGCTTCTATGGTGGAGACCGTTGGAGGCCATCGCTCTCAGGCTGGAGGCCATCGCTCTTGGCTTAGAGGCCATCGCTCTTAGGGTGGAGGCCATCGCTCTTGGGTTGGAGGCCATCGCTCTTAGGTTGGAGGTCATCACTCTTAGGGTGGAGGCCATCGCTCTTAGGTTGGAGGCCAATGGCTCTTAGGGTAGAGGCCGTCGCTCTTAGGGTGGAGGCCATCGCTCTTGACGTGGAGGCCATCGCTCTTGGGCTGGAGGCCATCGCTCTTAGGTTGGAAGCCATCGCTCTTAGGTTGGAGGCCATCGCTCTTACGGTGGAGGCCATCGCTCTTAGGTTGGAGGCCATCGCTCTTAGGTTGGAAGCCATCGCTCTTAGGGTGGAGGCCATCGCTATTAGGTTGGAGGCCATTGCTCTTAGGGTGGAGGCCATCGCTATTAGGTATCTGTTTCTTTATGGTTATAGTTATAATTTACCATGAGTACTTTTTGGCCAGCCTTGAAGATCGGATTGCAGCCAGCGAAGAGCCCGGTGAACCAGCGAGCTGCCAGGAAGTGCCAGAAGGTCAGGTGTTGCAGCGCGTAGACCTCTTTACAAATGACATCCGACGGGAAACCAATGTGTCATTCAGTCATTGACAATTCATGTGTCATTTAGTCATTCCTTCAGAGGGGACTTCTTAAAAAAGAGCCGCGCCTGAAAACCGAAGAGAAAGGAAGTGCAAAACATCGAAAACATCAAGACATTACGACGGCCCATGGAATCGCTGCAGATCGGCAAGATCGACACTGCAAAGAGCATTCCGAGAGACCTTGGGGGTCTTGTTGGGCTGAAAAACATTGCCAAGAGTACTACACTACATTAAGTCACTATGTCCAAAATAAGCATGCTGACATTCTGATTCCTTTGACACAAAAATCTCTTGTCATTTCTTTTCTTGCAAAACGACACAAAACACAACGTCAACACACGTGTCGCAGCCGTATGCGTTAAGTCTATGGTCCAAGTGACAGGCAAGAAGACACAAAGCCTGTCTGCGCGGTGGAAAGTTGATATTGCGCCCGAATGGTCGGGTACGCTGGCATCGGCATCGTCAATCCTGCCGAATGTCTTGTGAAGACTTCTTTGGAAAAAAGGAAATATATATATATATGTATACAACGGGAAATCAGTACAAGCCCCAATACGCTGTGGCTTCAGGTGTGCTTTTCAATCAAAAACACGACACTGAGACTCGGAGAAGGTTGGAGAGCTCCGGGGAGCCCATAAACTTTAGTCAACTTTAGTCAACTTTAGTCCATTGTACTCCATGTAGCACAGCTGAGTAGAAAGATGACAATTAGTTTAATCAAAGGAGAATCCTTGTGCAAAATGCTTCAGGATCCCTGCCTAGAAGACTCAAGCACGATACAACGAGAAGAAAGTAGACACTGCTCGGTTTGACCTGGCGTGGACGATCGCCCAATCTCGACTTGAGGATACTTGACTTGGGACCGCAGGGAATGTAATGAAACTGTATCGGATGCCAAAAAAAACATGTCTCGCAACGCCCCGAACAATACTTACAGTGGAGGCTCTTGAAAGAATTGAACACTCATCAAAAGACCAATGGCAGAAAGCAATCCAGAAAGCGCAAACTGCCCAAACTGCCACGCCCTGAATGCCTGCATCTTGGGGGACGGCGCAGCTACACCCTTCTGTCTTCTGACATGCCGTGTCCTGCGCGCAAGCTCTGGACGACAAAAAAGACAGCCTTGTCCAACCACGGTTCTGCTGGCTCTATTCTTGCAATGGTGCGATTTGTTGCTGGCAAGGAGTATTTGGGAATGAAGACAATGTTCAGCAATTTGGCTGCAAGAGGCAAGGGACTACAGCACTACCAGTGTTTGTATCGTACATCAGCTGAAGCTTTCATAGGTTTACATTCTCAACCGTAATCAGTTTCCAATGATATGTAAAGCAAGCACTGGGGTATTGCATGTCATCTATTTCTGTCGGGCACTTTCCTGTCCTGAAGACTGTTCTGGAAATGCCCGTCCCGGCCGAAACAAGTGCCGCTGTGCAGCCAAATTGAATCCTCCTAACAATCGGAGAGTTGCTCAGGCCTCTCTTCGAACAAATCAAGCAATCCAACCATCTTCAAGTCTTTATTGTTACTCTCACAACTGAAGCTGCAAAAAATAAATTGAAAGCATGAAATTCTCAGATGGTCCTGGAGGTCTTGGAATTGCGCGCTTTCGGCGCCTCATGGGCCTCCCGGATTGCAGAGCTCCTCCTTGTCCAATGCACGGGAGAGGGACACCTTGGCACCTCAAGGGACATGGCACCGCGTCCCTCAGTGGCGCGGTCGCGCCCCGTTGAGGCGGGTCGGCCTGGATCCCTCGCAGCAGGTCGGAGTCGGTACCAAGTCTCAAAGGTTGACTTTTCTCCAAAGGGGCTTCTGGCATCGCTACTAGGAGCAAGCAACAAAGGGCATCGCTACTAGTAACAAAGGGCATTACTGCTAGTAGCATTCTGACTACTAGTAACAAGGGCGCTACGTACGATCTTTCAATTAAGTATGACAAAGCATACACAGCTGCAAGCCCACTCCTCGCTGGGAGAGTTTGAGGCAGATTCTGCACCTGGAACGAATTAAATTACACGATCATGGACCCCAAATAGTTAGCATGTGTCTTTCAAAGCACAATGCCCAAAAATTGTATATTTGATGGAAGATATACTTACAATCACATGTAACGTTGGACACAGGACACCATTTTCCACCCAGCTTAGTAAAAGGTATCAGGCTGGTAGAGTGGGGGTGAGGGGATGAAGAGTTGTGTGCAGGCATCTCACAGTGAGCGACACACTCTTGATCGAGATGGGCTCATTCATGTGATGATGACATGACATTCCTGCATGCAATTCCCCAATTCACTTTGTGGAAGCACAGGACCCAATCCAATAAGAAAGAGTCCATCACTCCAAAACAGGGTGAACAAATGTCCTGCAGGTCAATCACTGTAAGAGTAATCACTCAATCAACTAAGCACAGCACTACCTAAATGTCCTGGGTGAACATTGGCTTGAACAAAACTACAAATACATCTGCATCACCGCTTAGTTGCGCAAACTCCTGGGAACATGTTGAACAAAAAACACAGGTGCAAACACCGGCAATTATGTCCTATGCTGGCAACTGCGCAGCGTTGACTTTAGCGTGTGGGTGTATACCTAAACGGCGGGAGCAAAAGCAGCACCCAATAGCAGCACCACCCTCTTCGCACCCAATCAGTAATGTGGGTCATCCGGGTCATCTCCAGCGGCTTTCCACACCATCATTTCACAAGCTGCTCCAGCCTCGCGACATTGTGTTGACCTGCGGGTCTAGATTGACATAATTCCCTTGCATGCAACAAAAACTTTACAAATTGAACTAAGAATGCAAGACTACAGCTTTACCCAAGAAACTCCAAGTCGGAGAGATGTTCACACAACTACCAGTTTGTTTCACACACGGGTACTGGAACTTGGAATAAATACAAAAAGACTTGAACCCTGTGGGGGAAAATAGAATCGGAAGACCACAAGCTCAAGAAATCCTTGATGAAACATGAAGAACACGTCTGTAAAAGTAAATCCGCCTGTGTGCGGGTAGCTTTTGATCTGCCTGGCAAACAAGAGGCCTTGACATTGCCACAAGATCTAGCATCCATCCATCCATGTAAAGCAAGGACATCATCAATTTTCCTCAACTGAATGGACAGGTTTTCTTCAGAAGCGGCAAGTGTTGCCTACATACCAGCACACATGCATTCATGGAAATTACAAATGTAGGGCGGCTGGCCTAAACCCTGAACTTGGCTGGCAACAAAAAGGTCATGGACATCTACTGCACTATATCGACCGTTGGTGCTTAAATTGCACAGGCAGCGCAACTTACAAGAGCCAAACAAAGTCACCTGTCAAGGATGAATATGGTCAAGTTTGGGTCTGAGAGTTTTCCAAAGCCTTCCTGCCATGCCCAATGTTGTCTTCATCTCTACCAGAAAAGCTTTTGCCGTTTTGCTGTTTTGCAACTTCCCCAGTGCTTGCAGTGCTTGCAGAGCCTGCGGGGGCGGCAGACTCAGTCTGTCGCCTGCTCCGAAAACCAAAAAGTGCTGTAGTGCAGCTCCTGTGACTTATCCCTCGTCAACGAAGGAGTGCTGTCAGTAACCTACCAAATTGAAACCAAATTGGCTGAGTACTATTTCGAGCTGAAACCAAGTCAACTTTCCAAAACATCACAAGCGTCTTGGTCAATTCCCAAATAAAAAGACTAATGATACCTAGCACCCCCAAGTCCATGAGTTTTCTATGCTTGGCTTTTGGCAATCTTAGATGCGCTTCAAAGGCATCGCCCATCATTGTGCCCGCCTTTTAGCAGTTGGGCACGGAGCCCGGGGTTCGGTGCCTTGGGCAGTTTTCATTTGGAGAGCCGTAAGGCCGAGCCAAAACCCGCCACCACAGACAGAGCAAATCGCGTCTCACCTGACCTTTTCTGCACATACCATGGGCCTTCCAATAAGGTCAGCCTAAGCCTAAGCTCTCAATGCCATCAGGCACCGCATCATCAAAACATCTCTGAGCACCTGAAGGAGCTCCGAGTCTTTATGGATGGCACCAGCGCTCCGAACAAAAACACGAGTCCAGGTGGTCAAGGTGCTAAGGTGACAATGAACTTGCAGAATGAAGTGACAATGTTCTTTGGTATTCACTTGATTTGGCATCTCGAAGAACAAACAATGCCCTGAGCATTTTGCCTTGGAGCGCCCCGCTACTTCAGACTGAAATTGCGGAGCAGTGCTCAGTAGAAGTAACGATGCATGCTTCCGAACTTGAACTTGTGCTTCTGACCTCAGCAATGGAACACTGGCAACCGCAAAATGAATCTAAATCTTCTGACAATCATGAATGCTGTATGCAATGAGGAAATGAGTACTCTTGAATAAGCTGCATATTCTTCACCTGCACCAGCGGGTCATGGTTCCTCGGTCATGGACGGAGGATCGCCAGGCCATGGCCAATGGTCTGCTCGATCTTGGGCTTGAAATCCGGGTGCTTTTCAAGGATCCTCGAAGATTCCAATCTCTGTCCAGGTCTGTCCATTGGGTCTCTGAATGCGAGTGAAATTGGATTCTCCAGCAAAAAGAGTTGTATCCAATACAATCCGAACACGCTGTGTGGTGGCCTTGTCACCGCCTTAGCCTGCCTGAAAAAAGACTGAGCTGCGTCTCCGCAAAAGAAAGTGATTGTGGTCCGTTCTTGTGGACCAGAGCAGAACTCCAAGACAGTGGTAGAAACCTCATGGGTCGTCCTTCAGTGGATTGAAAAAGTTGTGCATGACAGTTCTTAATCCATTGAAAGACTGCTTCTCTCCTCTTTCTTTTGACTCTCGTGGGCAGTCTTTTTCGGGCTCTCTACACTGACCACAATGTTTTTTTCCTCGGAAGATTGGGGAAACTGGATCTTTTTTGAAGGAAAGGCCGTATTTGGCATCGAGACAACCCAGTATTGTGCTGATGCCTGCAATTTTTTCAATTTTTTCACCTTCATATACTGCACTGGCACGAGTTCTTGTTGTCACAATTTGGTCAACACAAGCATCACCCTGGGGTGTTTCTCGCTCTTGACACCGAACGTTGGACCAAGCCATTATGAAGAAGACAGTTGCTGTCTGTCAGAGCATTCATAGCAGCGACTTTGGAGGATGATTCTGTCAGAGCTAGGCGTCTTTTCATAGCTCTCAGCCGCCACCTTGGCCTTGGTTGCACGAGTTGCAGAAGCCAAGTGTGTCAGACAGAAGCTGCCATACGCAAAGGCTACCAGCGAGCAGGACAAGACTTCGGTGAGAGACTTCCTCTGACACCGAAGAAGTTGAGATCCCATGTCCACAATGCCTGTGAAGCTTGGGATCCCTACATGTTCGTCCAAATTTTCGACCTTCTCCTGCGCCAAGTTAGGTTTGAAAGTCACTTGTGTACTGTTTTCAGGCCAATTCTCATGAACCTAGCACTGCTAGACTTCAACTTAAAGTAGAACATGACCTCGTTGTCTTGGAGCCAGAACAATAGATCTGGACTGACTATCATTGCTGGAGCAGCATCAAGCCACCCAACATGAGCACACACATGCCTGAATATACACTCAGAACTCAGAAACCAGTAGAGACCAGCGGCTCCTCAGCAGCAAAGCCAGTGCCCATGAAGCCGCTGGCACGCGTGCACAACTCCGCCAGCTCGTTAAGGTGGTCACGCACATCCTACGAGCGCATTGTGAAAAAAATTGACAAGAACAAACATTTAAACAATAGTATATGTTGTTGTTTAATCTCTGGGGGTAGGCCGTAGCTAGTAGCCAACAAGTAGCCAGGAGCTAATTGTAATTAGCACAGTGAATAGCACTACTATGCTTGAACGCAGAAGAGCACAGATTGTTGGGAAAGTTAAGTTGCTTCTTGCTGTTCGCAGGTCCATCTGTCGACTGTTCTACTTTGCTTTGCTTAATCCTTTGCTCTTGTACGTATTGTGAGCTTGGTCATCCAGCAGAAATCATTAAAGCTAGGACCTTAGAAGGGAGGACCCTATAGCCCCCAAAAGTATGGCACGTTGCAGTCTCATTCTGCAACGGATCAGACTGGAGTCTTTCCAAAGTCACAGTGTCCAAGCTGCTGTCCTAAGATTGAAAACTCCAAACAGCACAGATCTTGCCTCACACTGGTAGTAGACGTCCATCCTTGGAACTTGCAAGTTGTGGTTCTAGTAGCTCAAAGTCAAAACATGTCAAAGCTATGAATTAATGACTCTAACTTGCGATATCCTTGTAGTTAAAGGAATCTGCAAAGCCTAAGCAATACATAGGCGCGCCAAACGCCAAACAAGCCTCCATTTGACGGTGAAAAGCCTTGCCCTGCACATTTGTTTAGCAACTCAATGGAAGGCTCAAAGTCTGCGACCAACTTTCCCACCTACATAATCCATCAATTCAACTCATCACATATCACTTTAACGCCGAAGCTCATTTCCTGGACCTGCTTGTACTTGCTGCCCACATCTGGTTCGTGCAAATAAGGCTGAACCAGGGAGTTCAGTTTCCTGACAGCATGATCTCCGGCTCTTGGCCTTTCGATCAAAGGCTTCATTATGATCTCTACATCAGTTTCAGCTTACTCTTGTGTTTGTGTCTGCAACTGTTGCTTGGGAGACCATCACAAATCATATACCTGCCGAGGTACTCGAACTCAGCCTGGCAAGGATGGCTCGCAACCCGGACAGCTGTGACAGTGCTCCAATGATGGCTCTCCGTACCGTTTTTCTTGGAACCAGCCCCCTCAAAACTGTACCCGAGGAGACAATATATATATATATACATATATGATACATGATATATGGCACATGGTCCTGATCATCGCAGCCTTGGATCATCCGAAACACTCGCACCAATTTGCACCCATTGCGAATGTCAGTATAGGTCAGTATATGTCAGTAGTTTGACATGTTTCTCCCTGTGATCGTGCTGGCATTCTGCCGTCCAAGATTTATGTATCCACCCCTTTCGCGAGCACAGTGCATGTGGACTTGAAACTTTGATGCATGGCTTGTGCATCAGTGCCGCTGCAGCTTCCGAGGGACAAAAACTCCAATATGCTCTGTGAAAATGTTCATGAATTGTGTACTGCTCGCATGCTTGTATTGACTGACAAGGCGCCTCCCAGAAGGGCACGCTGTAGACCAGAGTGAGATAATCTGCCCAGTTGGTGCTCATGACCTTGCACGTTGGACACTGAAGGGCTTTGCACACGGCAAAGGTGGTTTGCCGATCATTCTGTCTTCAGTGTGTTTCCATCAAAAATGAATGAACTTAAACTGATACTGCCAGTCTATAGGTACCAGCTGCTCCCTCCTCTGAGACAAGGGCTGTGGCATGATACCTTGGATGAAATGTGTGTCACAATCGCAACTGATGCTAAGGCTGATATATACTGGCACGTGCCAACACAAACATGTTGGAGTTGGCTACGAGAATGCAGGGGGAACGAAAAACAAATCGATTGAAATCACAATTAAAGATTGATCAAAGCACTACAAACGTGCGCAAGCAACAGTCAAGCGTGTGGCAACAACACACGTTTCTAGTCACAAGGACTGACTGAAATGGTCCCGTTGCAAAGCTTCTGAAATCGTCTCCTTGTCTTGGTTGATCGATGCCAACCGGCAAAAAAGACACGAAGCCAAGCAGTGTCTGCATAGCCAGAAAACATGCATCTGCATAAGCTTATCATGACAACACAAAACAGATCACCGCCTTTGTTTGGACAAGAGCTAAAAAGCTTTTGAAGGTAAGCAGCTCGTCCAGGAGGGAAAGCACATCATCCCGGCTGTACTTTGTCACCTGCATTGCAGACTGTGCTAGGACTGGAAAAGGATCAAGAATAAAACAATAGTTGCTCACACGTCAGCATCTTTGGATGTCAATGTGAGGACATATTATCATCAAACCATAATCACATCACGCCTTTTGGCAATGCACATACTTACTTAGCAAAACTGCAAAGCCTTTGGAATGCGATCTCCATGGCAAATAGCTTCAACAGGGCTTTATTGGACGTCAATTCTCTATATCCAGAGGACCTACCTACTTTGCCTCTCACGAAGCAGGATAGCTTTTACAGAACCGAAACCCCCTGGAACAGGCCTGTGGCAAATGTTTCATAGAAATGCCACAACACGCTGTCGACAATTCAAGATTCCAACACAGTCAGACTTCTCAAAGACAAGACAGGGCCACCGTAATGTAGGATCGTACAGAGTCCTCACATAGCGGATCCAAAAGGTAAATGGACTTCTCGTGCAAATGGCGCTGTCCAGTTCTTACCAAACACCACACAATAAGAGTGTTATATATCCAGACGTCTACTTAAGACAGTAGTACGAAGTGACTCATGTCAATCTATTTTTCATGTCGCGTGGTTTTGCAATGATTATTTCCAGAATCTTTGTGCGGTACAAACGCGTCCTCAGCGCACTCGTTTTTGTCGTCTTGACATTAGATCACATAGATCACAGTGGAATTTTGAATTCAGAACTGTCCTATTTTTTCCTAGGGTTCGTCTCATATTTCGTGTTCACCATCTCTTATCGTCACGCAGATCTTGATTTGTATCTGAAGGGGGTTTCGTGAGGGGAAGATGATTTTATTCGTATGGTGCGGCGCACACTAAGATTTCTTTAAAAAGAACCGTCTGGTTTTACAGGATTAGACTATGCTTTTTTAGCAGTCAGAAAGATGTGCTCGCGAACTTGTGTGTTTTTGGAGATCTGAGATTTAAAAAAGAATATTCTACAATATGGAATTGTTCACCCTCCCCTTTCACTTTCTTGATCTGCGCGTTTCATTTTTGTGTAGTGGGCACACGCTTGACAAACGGCCGTGTAATTTCGCGTTTTCGGGTGCACTTTCATATGGTATCTGCACCACTTTTAAAGTCTTCAGGGCCACTGGAGAAAAGTTTTGGCTACGCGGGCCACGAGTGGGGTGGGGTGGGTTGGTGTTGACGTTCCTTTGAAGTTGCAAACGTAGTTGATGCTAGGCAGTTAAAGCCGCAGACCGTCCATCATTGAGTCGCCCAATTTCAGCTATACATGACCAAACATCAAATACATTTCCTGGTATGTACCATTTCTGCACTGATGATAACTTTTGCCAGTCAGCAATAATATGCGTGGTACGCTCCTAAGAAAAAATTGAAAAAATGACTGATAAAAAGTGTCATGATTAAAGAAGGCACAAATTGTGAAAAAGGCAACACAAAAAACAACCAAAAAAGTACAAAAATGCAAAAACTAACTATATGTCTTTGATTTTTTGTTGCTTTACATATTTTTGGTGTCTTTGTTGTTGATTTAAATGACTATTTTGGCTCCTTGTTTCTATGGCTGCCGTGCCGGTCTCAAGTCTATCAATACCTTTTTTGGTCGGTGTCCGTTTTTGGTTGTGATGTTGCTATTACAGCCTTGCCAAATTGAAGCACTGGTTTTCTTGCATCACAAAGCAAAGGTGGCAGGTGAATACAGGCCTCGTGGATCAAATGCGGGCTGATCTCAAGCAGTGGGTACCGAAGCCAATCACTGCCCAAAACAAAGAAGAGTAAATGTTGTGGTGCTGTGTGTACCAGTGGTCGCTGCGGCCTTCATGTAAAGATGTCAATGAATGTAGACAGAACCTCTACAAACAGTGGCCAGAAGAAGGCAACTAAAAAAATGGCAATGCTTGAAATAACTCCCTGTCTCAAGTGAACCCGGCGGAATGCATACAATATGTATTTATGATACACCAGCTTTGGTCGATGCGGACATACACGCTTTAACTCGATGATGCTGGTGTCGATAGCTTGTGGCACTCTCCCTTTCCTGGAATGGAGAGCGGGGGCATACCAGCGGCAGCCGTGCTGCAGGAAGTGCAGGCTGAGCACGTGCAAACCTTCAGCCACACGACTGAACGAGAATACCAAGAAGTTGCTGCTCGTGGAACAGGACAACAAGGCATCAACTGTGCAGTTCCAGACTCCGCAACTACTGCAGTGAAAGAATATCAAGCACATCTTCTATTAGAAGTCAGCACCTGGTGGCCTTGCCAGCGCAGGACCTCAAATAGCAAGGCGCAACGCACAGACTCAGACAGGCACCGCAACCCACAAGTCTGTTCAGCTTGAGCCAGCAGGACCTCCGCATCAATTCATCTGCTGGACACCGTGACGCCAGGAGCCCCTACGCAAAGCGACGAACTGCTGCCATGGTTGCCATCTCGAGCCTTGGATATAGATTTGAAACTGAGCAAAAAGTTCTCTGGTTGATGTTTTGGGGTCAAGAGTCCTTGTGTTTCAATGCATCTTAAGGACCTGTCATAAGGCTGGATATCAAGAGGCATTGAGCGGTTTTGGAAGACTTTACTCCTGTAGAAGGGCAATTGTACTGGTGTACACCCTGAGCTGCCAGGTCTCACACGCAAGGGGCTGCTCAAAAAAGGAAGCGCAGTATGTCTTGAGCCGAGATCTTGGCAAGTGGCAAGTAAGCAGTCAGAGGACACGTATTCAAGGTTGGTCTCCTGTATACCTAACTCTTCTATACACAATCTTTGGAAATCTTGAGACATGCCTCGGGTTTCCACTGCATAGGTCCCTATATAGGTGTTGTTTCCACCATTGAGGAACCGCACGCTCAATGCGCACCCGCTTGGGCTTGGCCTCAAAGGACAGTCTGGAAAATCATCAGTTCTGCTTCTTAGCTGCTTCAGTGCATAACTTTGGGCAGATTCCCATGGTCATGCCCAAGCTTTGCTCCAAGAGCTTGAACTGGAAACTGGACTGAGCTGAAACAGTCCCAAACATAAAGAGGTTTCATGAAAAGCCCGGGGAAAGGATGTCGATGGGTCTGTAGCCCCCCCAATATGTGAGGTGCAGTGGTGATACCATGTATCCACCCGAGTGCGAGCGAGCCTTTCCCTGCTTTTTACAATTGAACCTGGGGCTTCACCCTTGTGCAAATGCAAACATGTTGAACTCCTGTTGCGCCCAGCACAACATGTCAAATTGCCTCGCACTTGGTTGCAGAATACATTCGCATCAAATCGCTCGCACATCAATTTTCGGTTGCTGAGAGCTGTGCAACCTCAGCAGCCGGCCGCTTTCGAGCCGACGGTGCACACCTGTCAAGCGTATCAATGGGATCTGTGTCCAATCGTTTGTTTCCCGAATCTGCTATACAAATATGGATATGATAAAATTTGATAAGAAACTGAAGCTCAATAGTATTTACGTCGGTGTTTCATGTTGAATCTTGGAAGTCCGCCTAGATGATCGTGCCATGCACACCCAAGGTCATCGGGTAAATCCTTAGAGCATGAACAGCGCATGCACAAGATAACAATTCTATTTTTTTCCGCATTGTTGCAATCAGGTTGGAGGCCATCGCTATCAGGTAGGAGGCCATCGCTATTGGGTTGGATGCCATCGCTTTTGGTTAGGTTGGAGGCCATTGCAATCAACCTCTTTGGCACTTGAGAAATTTGACGCCCGCACTGTGTGCCACTCCCAAGCACATCGGCGAAGGTCAGCAGGGGAGATGGCCCACAGCAGACTGGAACCAAGCAGCAACGTTCATTAAAGAATGACTACGCGTATAATTTTTTCATTTGCAAAGGCCAGAACCCTTGACTTGAAAAAGATCAAAAAAGGTCAAAACAAAGTCAAATGGAAAAGTCAAAATCAAAAAAATCAATGAAATAGTAACAACTTGAGGCCAAGGGGGGGGGCGAAAGCTAGCGCTCCAGAATGGGAAAGTGGAGGGCAGCGAGGTAGGAAAAAACACGGCGCTCTTTTTGGAGGCAGGGGTGAAGAGTCCTTTATATGTGGTTCTTTGCCCGGATCCTCCTGCGAGAGAAGAGAGAGAAGAGAGACGGAAAGACGAGAGACAGAGAGGAGAGAGAGAGAGAGAGAGAGGAGAGAGAGATGAGAGAGAGATGAGAGAGATATGAAAGAGATGAGAAAGAGATGAGGGAGAGATGAGAGAGATGAGAGAGAGATGAGAGAGAGATGAGAGAGAGATGAGAGAGAGTTGAGAGAGAGATGAGAGAGAGATGAGAGAGATGAGAGAGAGATGAGAGAGATGAGAGAGATGAGAGAGATGAGAGAGACAGTGAGGATGAGAGAGAGAGAGAGAGACAGTGAGAGTGAGAGTGAGAGTGAGAGTGAGAGTGAACGAGTGCGGCCGCAAGATACGCAACGCTAACCACATGCCAAAGAGCGACGACAGGACGGAGTCGAACTTGCGAAGAGGGAGGAGGGAGGGAAGGTGGGAGGAAGACAAGGAGACAAGGAGACAAGGAGGAGGAGAGGGGAGGTGGGGAGAGGGAGGGAGGGGGGGGGGTGGCTTCGACCTGAAAAATCAGGGGTTAGGATTTGCACCCGATCGAAAGAAACCTTGCTATCGCAAGAGTAACTCCAGCTAGCTTCGCTAGCTTTCGTGACAAATGTCAAATAAAAATCAACAAAAATATCACAATTCAAAAAAACATCAAGAGTCAAAATTTGAAAACAACTCAAAAATAAACTCTTAAAAAATCAAATCATAAAAGTGCGAAGCGTGAACGCTCTTTTTCGCTTGGGCCTAATGCGTCAGCGTGTTCTCGATTTGTGCGTGTCATGTGTGGGTGACCGACTCATCCATGCTTTCTGACACTGTCCCTTCACCCACACACTTACGGCACATGTCGAGACGTTCCGCCCCTTGAAAGTGGGGGCATTGGTCGCAAAAGTGGATTTTCAAACCACGGCGACATACCCTGTAGCTCGAGCTCTGGCGCATGAGCTTCAGGCTGTACTCTGAAGCCAGCTGGCACTCATGCAGTGCCATGTCTCGCTGTTGCTTCAGTTCACAAATTGTCCCTTCCAGCTCCTCGATGTATGTGTCCAGCTGGAAGAGTTTGTTCTCCGTTTCTTCCTTCTCATAGTCCTTCTCAACCCAATTCAGCGTCTGGGTTGCTTTCTCATGCTCATCATTCTTGTACTTCATGATCTCCTTGATCATCTTGCTGAAGGTGACTCCGATGTAGTCCCAGGTCATGCCTGTTGCCTTCAGCAGATGCTGCCGCAACCACTCAATCAGACTCAAGGCCCCGATTGTCACGAGCATCAGCCAGATCCATGTCCAGCCATCATCCTCTTCATTGTTGGCCTCTTCTGTAGGAGATCCGGCCACACTCTCCAAGTTGGAGAGCAGCCATATCAAGCCAACATGAAGGTTCTTGTTCTTCAGCACCTTTTGTGTTCCTTTTCTCATCCTTTCACGATGCTCGAGCTCCTTGTATTCTTCGAATCCGACTCGGTCACCAGCACTGTTGATCATCTTCAACATGTACAGCAGGCCAAACAATCTGTTTCGTGTAAGGCCCTTCGTGCCGATGTCCGCGGAGTTCAACTCTGTTGGTATTGGGCTCACTGTAAGGATTTTGTCCTTCTCTTTCTGCTGGATCCAAAGCAGGGCTGCATCTAAGTGTCTGACCCTGCCGATGCCTTGCCTCTGGACCATGGAGCGTGCCGCTGAGCTGTCCGATCGCACCCTCATCTCACATTCTTCTTCTACCATCTTCATCCACAGGTGGCGGATGAGCATTCCATCAGAGCATCCTCCAACCATCGCCACGAACTCTGCTTCACCTGATGAAAGTGAGATCGATTTCTGGCTTCGAACTCTCGACTCCATCAAATTTCCATCCAGCAGGATCTGGAACGAGGTCGTGCTTTTGCGGTCATGTCGATTCCCAGCGTAGTCGCTGTCACAGACCACTTCCAACAAATGCTTGTTCTTGCTCTCCACCTCGTCCGACTCCCTGACATCCATGATGGTCTGTCCCTTGGCTCTTGCGGCTAACCTCACGCCAAACCCTTGTGTGCCTTGAAGGTATGAGCACACATGCCAGGCATTCTTCCAGGCTTGCTTCGTGGGTCTTGCCATGAACTTTGCCAAGCTTTGGATGGCGAATTGAGCGTCCGGCCGTTCACCAGCTAAGTACATCAAGCGGCCCACCACACTCCTGTAACGAGTGATGTCCTCTCCTTGCAGCTCTTCGCTGTCATCCTTCTTGCTGAACTCTTGGTTTGTGGGCGTCTTGCGATATGCCTTCTTGAAGATGTCCTCCATGTCTTTGGCCAGACTTTCATATTGCCTGTAGTCGCACCTGATGTCACACCAATCATCATACATCACAAATTCTCTCTTCAGGTAGTGGAAAGTTTCCCCACTGTGGAATGGGCCCTTCTCCTCAACACTCCACTTCATCTCTTCCTTGAGGTAGTTCACAAAGGCCCTCAAACTCTTCTCCTTTCCCACCATGAAGACATCGTCGACATGGACAGTGATATAGATGTCTTTCGTCTTCATGAGAAGCGTGGGTTGCATGACATCTTGCTCAAGTCCAAAATCCCTTGCTGCTTTTGCGAACAGCTGGAACCATTGGGATGCTGCAGTCCTCTGGCCCGGGAGGCACTTCACCAGCTTGTAGATGACGTTGTCTACGTCCACATAGGCCTTCTCCTCCTTCGGCTGGTCAGCCATGAGAAAAGCGTCTTTGATATCAAGTGTCATGGCCACGAATTCTCGGCAGACGTTCAGCAGCAGGTGAATCAACATCTTTGGCACCACTAGCATAGATGTTGGTGCGAATGTTTGCTCAATGTTTACGCTGCTCTTGAACTGTCTGGCTACCAACCTCGCCCTTCGAAACCAGCCTCCTTGTTCAAGCCTGTGCTTCCAAGTGAGCACAAACTTTGTCGAGATGATGTAGCCTCCTTCCTTCTCCACTTCTTCTGGGGCACATTCGACCATGGCAGGGATATTGATCATCCTGTTCACTTCGTTCAATCTTGCCTCATGGTCCAACCTCTCCAAGTGTGCCTCTGTGGTGATTGGAGGTTCATCTTCTTCATTTCCTCCATAACCCGCAAAGAACTCCTCAGTCAATGCATCAGGGACCAACTCATCATTCATCTCTTCGTCCCCGTGCGCTTCAATGGCTTGAATTCCAGCATATTGCGGTGGATACAGCCTGGGAATCTTGCTGGGGGATGCACTGCCCATCTGCTCAACTTCATTCTTTCTTGGCCTTGTCGAGCTCGCTCCTCTTGTTCTTCCTCTCTCTTCGACCTCAACATCCTCTGTCCTCTGCTTCTTCTCCTTCTCTTCCTGGTCTTCGTGCTGTGTCTCCCTTTTCTCGTGCACCCTCCGAGGTGAATCCTCAT